GAAAAACCAACAAACAAAAACCTGATTCGATTGCTATTTCAGGGTGGGTACCTTCTTGACAATCTTGTGCTTTTGGACTATCTGCTCAGGAATCGGGGCATTCATCTGAGTTCGCTGCAGATTCCTAAAGTGGGCACTTAGCGGCAATCTGTCTTCATCAGTTACATGCCAGGAAGAAATGCTGTGTGTCCACGTCTCCATCTCTCTCTCTCTTTCTCTCTGTCATTCTGTCTCTAACACTCACTGTGTCTGTCTCTCTTTCTGTCTCTTTGCCTTCTCAGAGCTTTTAAAAAATGTCGTAAACACTGTAACCCCCATAGTGGAAAATACCACAATGTATTAAGAACCTAACAACCTTCCACAGTTACACCACTTTGTGGCAACAACTGACATTTACCAAGGGTATTTTCTTCTAGTGTTTTTACATGGGTGTGTTTTTAAATAGCTAACCACACACTATACTCAGGTTTATAACCAGCTTCTTTCACTTAACATTGTATGCTAAGCATTTCCCCCATCATTAAATATTCCTAACAAGTATAGTTTTATTAGCTACATAATGCTCTATTGTTTGACTATACTTTAATTCAATTAAACTTCTATTGTTGGCTAATTAAATTATACCCAAATTTTCTCTATTGTGGACAATGCTGAGATTAGCATCCTTGTAAACAAAGCCTTTTTTTTTTTTTTTAAACAACAGCAACAAAGGCTATTAGACTACCTCCATTAGAATCAATTGCTAAAAGAGAAGTTTCTGGGTCAGCAACATGCACTCTTATGGTTGTTAATATATGTAGACAAAGACCTTCCCAGTAGCAGTAACCCTCACACTCCATGAGCACAGCCAGCCTTACCAGACTGACTGCTCAAAGCTGAAAACACAAAGGGTCTAAGGAAGAAACTGACCCAGTTTCTTTAACAAATTAATGGCAAAAGGGAAAAAGAAGGCAGGTGACAAGAGATTAAGAGAAACTTAAGACAACCAAATGCAATGTGTAGACATTGTTTGGATTCAGATTCAAACAAGCTAACTGGAAAGAGGTATTTTGAAACAAAATAACCAGGGCATTAGAAAACATGAAGGAACCACGGCTAATTTTGTTAGAAGGATTACGACACTGTGGCTGTGACCAAAAAAAAAAAAAAAACGGTACCAGATCACGCTATCAGCCATACACGGTGAATGATTTACCAGTTAAATGATAGGATGTTTGGGGTTGATTTTTAAATACTCCGGTATTCCCCTTCCCTCCAAAAACTTTGGTGGTAGGAGGTGGAACAGGTGAAGAAAGATTGGCAAAGTGTTGATAATTATTCAAACTGAGCGATAGGTTTATGGGGGTTAATTGTACTATTCTAAGTTCCTTTGTGACATTTTAAAGTTTTTAATAATAAAAAGTTAAAAAGAGAAAGAAAAAGGAGAACTGGCTCTGTCTGCCCTGATGTGGCATCACTGGGGAGATTTGAACTTGGTGCTTTGTGCATACCTTGGGGTGAGGTGCAGAAGAGCAGGTGATGTTGTTTAGGAAGTCACAGCGCGTGGGCAGGTGGGTCCAGAGCTGGCTGCCCACGAGGATGCCCTGCAAGCCCAAAGTCCAAGTCCCAGCGTCTCAGTTACCTGGTCTAGCACTGGACTCAGACACCCACATTGTTTTAAGCTTCCCAGGCATCTCTAATGTTGAAAGCCAGTTGAAAGCCAGAGTTGTTCATCTTTTTCCTTTTATAGATGATGACAAGGAGGTCCAGGGCACACCACAAGCGAGCAGCATCCCTGGAAGTGGAACCTCGACCTCCTGGGCCCCAGTTCAGGGTCTTTCCACCACACCACACTCTCACAGATGAAGACTTCAGCTGTGTGAAGCTCAAGAGCTCAAACTCTGCAGACCAGCATGCCCAGGTTCAAATCCCAGCTGCACCTCTTAGAGGCAGGCAACAGTGGTAGGTGACTTTACCTCTCCACATCTTACCTCCCATATACCTTATACTGAAGAGAGGTGGTATGAAGGGAATCAGATAAACTTGGAGCACAGAGTGCTTAACCAGTGTCAGTTCAGATGGTGTATTTCCTGCCCCTTGATTGTAAATTCGTTGGGGACAGGAGTGAGGTCTCAATCTTCTATATCTACAAGTATCCCGACTGCAGGCCCAGAGCCGCTATGTGTCCAGTCAACGAGCGAATCAACGAATGAATGGAAGACAACTCTAAAGAGACAGGCAGCAGCGTGACAACTGCTGGAAGAGGCTCCAGAACAAGGGGCATTCAGGACCTCAGGAGGCCTGATCTCCCGTCCCATAGCCCGTCCCCTCACAGGTCAGTCCTGCCACACTGTGGCCAATGGGCCACCCGACCGTAGCCTGAGTTGTGGCTTTCAAAGTGTGCATGACCAAGTGGTACTCGGGAAACTAACGAGCCCATGCTGGTCACCACAGAGATGTTTTCCTTTAAAAATGTGTTCACATTGCAAGAGCAATTTCAGTCCCTGCTTCACACAAGCCCAAGCTGAGGGCCAGCTCTGGGCTTCCCATTTCTAAATGACACAGTTATAGCCCTTAAGTGGTGACAACCCCAGGTATGTGTACAGAGCTTTGTAAACATTCTCCGACCTGCATTCTCGGACTTGGCCTTGCAGCCATTCATTTTCACAGATGAGGAAACGGAGGGCCAAAAAAATTAAAGGATTTGCTTAAGGGCACACCGTTGCAGCCAAGAGTCATAAGAACTCATGATGGCAGGGACTTGGAGGTCACCCCCAACACACACACAGTGCTGATGCTCTCATCCCCTCTACAGACCCACCACGTCTTACTGTCAGCTTTGCCCCTGTAACAGCACTGACTGTTAGAACACATTTCAATCCAAATATCAGTCTGGGACACACAGCTAGGTCCCCTTGATTTTAATCTCTTGCTTTTTCTCTATGGGTTGCCGTCTCCTCACGCGTTCCCCAGGTTAAAGGCCCTCAAACGCCCAAATTTGCAAACCAACGTGAAAACCTGCCTCTGACAAAGCTGGGGCCAACCCCTCCCACAATTCTGGCCTTTCTTTCCCTCCCCGTAAGGTCTGCCAAGTCAAATCTTTACAGTTCTATGCCACTTACTGGAGTGACCCATCTTTCAGGAGCCACTGTGGGCAGGGGCAGCGGTGGCCCATCAGGGGGAAGGCTGCCAGACTCTTCACCACCAGCTGTGGTGGGGGGCTTCGCTGTGGTGGCTGCTGCCAAGTCTTCTTCATCACCAGGACCCTGAAAACAAAACCAGCATGATGTGCCACCTCTCCTGGCTCACGAGGCAGCTGGGGAGTTGGGGTAACTGTCATTTCTGCAGTGCCAGCCCAGTTTCAAAGCACATTCTTATCTACAATCATCGTTACCCCAGCATACCCCTTCTGAAATATGTATTTCCTCTAAGCCTCAGCGCCAACTGTGGACCACTCATCTCTATGAGAAAATTCTTGAGCAAGGCTAGGAGGGAGCAGGGCTGGAGCTGCTGCCACACTCCAGCATTGCATCCTGCCTCCCTCCGGCCACTGCCCACTAGACATGTGCTCATAACCGAGCTGCAGGTGCCCCTGCCAAGGCCAAGGAGAACTGTTGTCTCACAATGCAGACTTGTCTCTCCCCTGTGAGCCAAAGAGGACACCAGATGACACTTACAGAAGTGACTGCCTGCTCAGGGCCCGCAGTGGCTGTGGTGGGTGCCAGGACGTCTGTGGGGATCCCACTGGCTTCCTCATCCTCGAAAGTACTGAGGGGCACTTCGATTGCAGCTGTGGCTGCTGTTAAACTTTCTTCACTGTTTGGACCCTGAAATGAAATTGGCATGAGGAGCTGTGCCCCTTCACCCATGCCCCTGGTTCAGGCTGAGGTCGGTGGATCACCTGAGGTCAGGAGTTTGAGACCAGCATGGTGAAACCCCATCTTTACTAAAAATACAAAAGTTAGCCAGGTGTGGTGGTGCATGCCTGTGATCCCAGCTACTTGGGAGGCTGAGGCATGAGAATCTCTTGAACCCAGGAGGCAGAGGTTGCAGTAAGCTGAGACCATGCCACTGCATTCCAGCCTGGGTGACAAGAGCAAAACTCAGTCTCAACAACAATAACAACAAAAATGGAATAAATTATACTCATATAAACAAAATTTGGAGCATATTTCTACCTGATTTCTCTAAAACTTGGACATTAATTGTGAGTATTCTTAACCTATGACAATACAGTTATTTGCATAAGTGTGGTAACAATCTGTTTTTCTTTGTAATAGAACACAATTGAAGACACTGGTTATTTTACCAAGGTTTTGACTTGAATGGCATGCTATCAGATACAGACTCCTTTAAGGAACCAAAGTTGATTTATAGAGCCAATAAAAGCCCCTTGCCTCATACCTTGTCTACACAATCTCTGTACAGATTCCTGACCTGTGGTAAGTAAAGAATGTCACTTTCTGACAGGCTCAGGAGCCCAAAGTTTTTTTAAGACCTCAAGGTGAGGACTTCGCCCAATTAATACAGGTATTTGCAGGCATGGGCTGTGCTTAAGGCATTCAAGTCAAATCTAAGATTCCTTATGGAATAAAGTTCCAGAAAAGTCAATTTAAAAAAAAAGAGGAGCCTATATGGCAAAGAACTATGCTTGCTGACTTTATGCAAATACTCAGGCCAAGTATAATAAGACTAAAACTTAATTTGCAAATGAATTTGTCCTACAATTTTTATTTAATGAAAATAGGATTGGAAAGAGAACACTATGTTTTAAAACAAACTACAGAACACCTGTTGTTAGATTTCGGTCTTGCCTAATGTTTTTCAATTTTTATTATTTTCTACAGTTTGGACTGAATTCTAAAATTCTTCCTGGCTACAAGTCTCCAAAATCATGTTTTCCAATTTCTTTTCTTCTTCCTTTTCTTTTTTCCCCACTTTTCCTGATTTGAAATCACTAAAAATTAGGCCATGCTTTTTTTAAGGCCTGTGAACTGAAGCTAGACAACTTAAACTTCAGAGGAAAATAACTGCAGCCTATTTACATACATAAGCCACTTTCATTGCTGCCTACGATGTATGGGCTTCAGAGTAATATGACCTATATCAACTTTCCAGGATTGTTCTTTTTTTAGTTGTTGTTTTTCTCCCTTTCCCCCCCTATTTTCTCTTGTAGAATATGAGACTTCACAACCTGCTAAAAATGAACTTTGCTAATAACATGGGACCTACCTGTCTAGGAATAAACCATCCTAGCCATGAGAGATCAATGAAAGCTGAGACTAAATATTCATTTTCTTTAACATGCTTTAACTGAAAGATTTTTAAAAGGGGGAAATGTGAAAGGAAAATAAATCTCAGGACCTCAAAATCACTAAGCCAAAGGGAAAAATCAAGCTGGGAATTGCTTAGGGCAAACCTGCCTCCCATTCTACTCCTTTAAAAAAATACCTACTAAGATAAGAAAGGCACACACCTCCTTCACAATTTGTCCATAAGGAAATTCCTTACAGAAAAAGGAAACACAGAACTAAAAGTCATCCCTCTTCCCACTGAAATAAATGCATATCTGATTGTTTCCTTTGGAAAGGCTAATCAGAAACTCGAAAGAATGCAACAGTTTATCTTTTATCTACCTAAAACATGGAAGGTGTTTTAGGTAGATGAAACACCTCCCCACTTTGAGTTGTCCTGCATTTCTGGACAGAACCAAGGTACATCTTACAAATATTGATTGATGTCTCATGTCTCGCTAAAATGCTAAAACCAAGCTATGCCCAATCACCTTGGACACATGTCATCAGGAGCTCCTGAGGTGCATCCTTAAACCTGGCAAAATAAACTTCCCAAATTGATTGAGACTTGTTTCAGATACTCTTGGTTTACAGCTTATACACCTCCAGTAACTAGGATCTCACCACCTCTACAGACAGCCCTTCGATTTTCAGACAACTCTGCTGGTCAGGTTCTAGTTTCTATTAAGCTAAGACTTGGTAGAACTGGGACCTGATCCCTGGCTTTCCCACTCTGTGATGTGACTTTAAAGAAAAGGGAAAGGGAGGGGAGGCGAGGAAGAGGAAAAGAAAGGACAACTGGAAAAGGAAGAAGGAGAACAAAACCACTTTGTTCAATAAAATAATCCATATAACTGCCCAGTGGCCTGAGGCGCCATCAGTGCATGCCCGCCCCACTGCAAGGTTTCCCAGTATGCATGCTAAAAGGCTGAAGACTACCTGACCAGCACAGACCAGGGACACAAGCGCGTGCAATGACATCAAAGGCCAGGGTTGTTGATCTGTGACATCCTGATTACCCAGCCATTCACTCACTCGGCAGATATTCATCCAATGCCTACCATTAATCAGGAATAAAGTACGTTAATGAACAAAATACTGTATCTGTAATCTCTGTTTTAGCAGAGCTTACATTCTGGTAGGGAGCCAGACGTGAACTATTTGCCAAGTTTATTATCAACTACAATGATGATGAGGCCTTCTGAGGACAAGAGTGGGGAGATTTCACAGTGCGGAATGACATGGGCTTGAGGAAGCGGTGTTTGAGCTGAACTCTAAAGGATAAGCAAGAATTAAAAGGAGGAGAGGAGGGAGAAAGGTTTTCAGCAGAGAGAAGAGGATATGAGGCAAGAAGAAGAGAGGCATGATGGAGAAACTGGAAGGTCAGTATAGCTGAAGTGCTGAGAGCCAGAGAGGAGGAGCCCAAGAGTTGGTCAGCAAGGTTGGGCAGGCCAGACCCTGGAAGGACTGTCAGGCCAGAAAGGGAGCTGGGTCTGCAGGGAAGGGCGATGGGAAGCTTCCAAGCAGGGGCAGGCAGACTGGAGACAAGATGTGAGAGGATGGAGGTGGCCAGAAGGGCCCTTAGCAATTGACTGGGCTGGGACGCAGCAACTCAGTGCAGAGGCCAGCGCTGGAGAAGGACGGAGCCAGCGATTCATGATGTGTTGGTGCAGAAAAATCAACAAGACTTGATGGTTGATGGGATGTAGAACTTAAGGGAGAGAAAAGAAAATGCTGGATTAGGTGACTAGAAGATGATAGTCCCATTCATTTGAGGTGGGAAGATAGGAGTGGAAAGAAGTTCAGGTTTGAATCAGCTGAGCTGGAAGAACTTGAGGGCACCCATTGTAGAGACAGCATAGGGACAGACTGGCCAAGTGCCTTGGGATGCTGTGTCCTGCCTTCAGGAGCTGGACAGTGTCTGTGCGCTGCATGAGGAGAGGGCTGGGAAGGCTGGCCGTGCCTTCTGACCCCTACTGGGGCCTGCTGCATGAAGCCTGACTCCTGCTGCCCTCTGAGAGCTTGCCACTCCTCCATTTTGGCTCGCGCCCCCCGGGGGTGAAGGCAGCAGAGCTCTGCACGCAGCTCTGGGACACACGCCTCCTCTCCAACTCACCCATCCCCAGGGCCCGGCTGCCCACTGGCCTCCAGGGGCTTCACCACACTCACCCATGCCTTGGCAAACTCCACTCCCAAATGAGTATTTGGTCAGAGACCCCCCTGCTTCAGGCTCCCCTGGGTTTGCTGAGCAGGAGCCCCACACTCTGAGAAGGCCAGGGGCTGCTCCTGCCATGACCTTGACCTCCAGGCACTGTACAATCCTTACCACAGTGGCTTCTTCCCCGAGGCTCTGGGTGGACACGGAGAGGTCCGGCTCCCCGGAAGGCATACCACTGGCCTCTGCTTCTCCAGGCGTGCTGGCGGGTGCCTTGGCCTCCCCTGCTGCTGTTGCTGCTAAAATCTCTTCATTATCTGGACCCTGAATAGAAAGTCAGCATGAACCAGGTCAGTGCCCCATGATGCTGATCCACCACAGTGTGGTGCGGAATAGCCAGCCAGGGCCCCTCCAGCACTGCGTTCTCCACGCGCTCCCTGTCAAAGCACCTCTACACCAAGACCTCACCTCACACGGAAACCCACAGTAAGACATCAGGCAGAAATACAGAAGCCTGGGTTCCTCACGAGACCACCCCAGCATTCCGCCTGTGTGGTGTGCCATCAGCCCCTCCCTGCCAACACCGAGGGGCATGGGCTCACCAGCAGCCCTTCCAAGCTCTCCCCTAATCAGAGTGCAGCTTCTACTGGTGCTTTAAGTCACTGTGTTGGGACAGAAGTTCAGGTCCTGGGACTCCACCTCTTTCTTGAAGGTAGTCTACCCTCATGGACCGCTCCCTGTCCCGCTCTCTCCCTAGCCCAGTGCCATCTGGCTTCCACTGCTCCGACAACTCTGAAGCTGCTCTCCCCAAGGCCATCACCGTCAATGGACAAATTCAAGGGATGCTTCTCAGTCCCTTGCTCACTGGGACTTCTGGGAGGACATGACATTGTTGGCCACACCCCAGAGCAGGCTGGCACCACCACTCACCTGACCTCCAACACAGCCCCCAAGCCCATCCCCCTTCTCCAAGTTTGCTTCCCCATCTTTCACCACTCGGTAGTCAGGTGATCTGCTGGAATTCTAATCTGGCTACATCCGTTCCTGGTTTCTTACCCTTCAGTGACTCCCTACTTCTGCTGAATCTTCTCTGTGTCCTCAGAGCTCTCCAGCCACCTCTCCCCACCCCTGATTCACACTTGACCTGCAGGCATGCTGCCCTTCTTCAGGCTCCAGGCCTTTGCACCTGCCAGCCCACCTTGCTGAAATGCCTGCCTCATCCACTCCGCTAGACGACTTCTCCTTTCCCTCTCAGGTCGCCTTCAGCACCCTTTCCCCAGAAAGCTTCTGTGCCCCCAAGCCTGGGCTCCAGGACTCCTTTTCGGTGCTCCCAGCGCATCCTGTGCTTCACCTACCACTTACCACAGCCCCTCCTACCACCCCGTCTTCAGGAATCAGGTCTACCCTATTTACTATTGATCCCTGAAACCAGGCCTGGTGCCCAGCACAGTGTGGTGCTCTTAACCTCGCCACTAAATGACCAATGTTATTTAGTGCTTACTCCAACAGACCAGTCCCATGAGACTGTCACTGTGTTTCGCAGACAGATGGGGAAAGCCAATGACTGCTCCCACTCAACACAACCCCCAACCCCAGGCACAGGTGAAGGAGAGCTGGCACTCGGAGCTACTTACTGGAGTGACCCCGTCCTCTGGGTTCTGGGTGGACATAGAGAGGGTCGGTCCCCCAGTGGGCACACTGCCAGCCTCTGTTTCCCCAGCAGTGCTGATGGCCACCTCGGCCAGTCCCGCTGCTGTTGCTGCTAAATTCTGAAAACAAAGGCATCACAAGAGGCCACGTCACCGAGTCCCCATCAACATGCCTGTGGCTGAGAGAACAGACTGCCCAGCCTCCTCCAATCACTGTATTTCTGTGGCTTCTTTCCCTCAAGGACTTTCACATCTATGGTTTCATAATTCCTGGGATAGGAGAGACTGCCCAGGCACCTATGTCTTGTGTTTGACTCCCAGTGTCTGTACCTGCAGTAACAGGGAAATCACTGCTCCTGAGTCAGCCCGGTCTAGCTCTAGATATTTCTGCTGAGACACATTGCCTCCCTGTGGCCTCCCCATAGACCCATCCAGAAGCCATTAGACAATGTCTTTGCCCATGGGTGGTGCTTCAGAAATGTGCAGGTAGCACCTCCGGCCTCCTCAGCCTTCTCTAGACTGGGAGACAGACATTCCTGCTTCTTCTCTTTCCCTGCGACTCAGTTTCCTTTGGGAACGCACAGGCAGATTCTCTGAAGGTTTCATAGCAATGGGGGAAATGGAAAGAGAGAGCAGCTTTGGTGCTGTGACACCAAACCATGTCCTTCCTCATTTCCCAAAGTTTGTTTATTTAATGCAAAAAGGTGGTTCTTTTGGTTACGTAAAACACCAGGCTAATCAAAGTTAAAAAGATTTCCTTTTTGCAGGGCTTCTCAGAATCTATAAAAGGGGAATGTAGAGTGCAGCATTTCCCAAAGTAATGTGACCACAGAGCCCCTTTTTCATAAAACGTATTAAGTCCTAGCAGAATTACTGTCCCAAAAAGCAATTAGAGGAAAGTTGAGGTCACAGGATGCTAAGATGAGACTCTTTCTAACTCGGCATCAGCGAAAGCCCCACAGGACAAGTGGCATTTCACACATATCAGGTAATCTCCCCATGCTAAGACAAGGAAATGGCACCCGTTCTACCAGCTTCTGCCCATCTCCCACCTCCAGGCTGTGTAAGCAACTGCACAGGACTCATTTTGGGTTGGGTGCCTGGAGAGCAAGAATTCCTTTGGAAAGAGTTTCCAGTGTGCTTTGGCTCTGCCCCCTCTTTTCACTCCAAACCATTTGGTGAGCTGGGTATGTGTTTCTTGGAATTTGGGAGGCACAGGGACTGATGTCCGATTCTCTCCAGGGAGACAAAAGGTGAAAGGAGGGAGCCATTTAGATCCAGAGTTGGGACAGAGGGACAAGGAAGAGAGAGAAAGGGGAGAGGAGAGGAGGGGAGGTGAGGGAGAAAGAAGAGAAGGGAAGTGGGAAAAGGAGGGGAGAGGAGGGGAGGGGAAAGGAGGGGAGGGGAGGGGGAGAGAAAGAAAGGGGAGAGGAGGGAAGGAAGAGAGGAGAGAGAGGGGAGAGCGATGGCGAAGCGAAAAGTATTTGTCCTGCAGTTGTTTCGCTGGAGATAGACAAGATATAATCCCTCCCAAGGAGCTGGCTAAAGCCATGCTGAGGTGGGCTGTGCTCAACGGGCCATGAGGAAGATCAGGGCACCCGGTATGTGGTGGAAGTCCAGGCAGAAGTTCCAAAGCCAATGATGGAACTTTGGTCCTAGATCCCCTGCAGGAAGCTCTCCCAGGAACCACAAAAGCCCCCATAAGAGAGAGTTCCAACAGCAGGCATCTTCCATACAAGAAGCCCAGATCTCAGTTTGACCAGCCAGGTACATCTGTGCCCATTTCTCCAGGTGGGTCGGCCCCTGCAGATGTTAACAATAGCTCTAGAGATGGGGAGGTCATGAGGATAAGGAGGAGAAGTCAGAAGATAGAGAGGAAACCCTAACCATGCTTCCCTTTCCTGGCAGATTCCTAGTCTGCAGCAGGCCTGAGTATGGAGGGGAAACTGCTTGTAATTTTGTGGAATTTTTGATATTATGTTGGGCTTGACTTTTAAAATCTGTGAAAATCGACTATTACCAGATAGTGACTGAGAGAGCTGTGAAGATTGTCTTAAGTTTTTCATCCCAGGAGAAGGGAAAGAATGAATTGGCATTGTGGGTTTCCAGCAGGGGCCATCGTGAGAAAACTATTTATGCTTTAATTTTGCACCCTAGGGAGCCCAGCATTTCAAAAACTGGCTTCGCAGGTGTAAAAGCCAATTACCAAACAATAGCATGAACACCTGCAGTTAATCTGATTCTGTCTGGAAGAGGACTAAAGGGCCGATAAATCCACGTGTCTTCACAACTGAGCAGGAGGGTGGGGTTGTGTTGGTGAGGCCTGGACACTTATCACAGGCAAGTGTGAGCACAAACTTGTACTGCGTGTCCCCCACCAGTCCTGTGCATCCCTGGAGAGCCTCTGTGGCCCTGGGACTCTGACCTCCTCTGTACCATGAGAACAGAGGCAGTCTTGATGCTGTTCAACCAAAACCCTCGTGGTTCTCTCTGGTGCTCAACAAAATCATCATCAAGTTTGAAATAAGCAAACAAGCCTCCTACTGACTAATCAAATGAAATTCACCATCTACTCACCTTTTCTTCAGCGATGTTAAGGAAGGCCCCAGCCCCTGAGCCGCTGTCAGTAATGGGGTCACCATCCACAGAATGAACTCCCTCCAGCGTGTCATTCAGGATCTCACCAGACCCTACGGGAAGCAGGCATTCTGCTATCAGTATCATTTTGCAGTCTTAGAAAAGAATGAGATATCTCTTCACCCACTCACTTGGAAAGATGTTCAGATACCATGACACAGGGTCAAGAGGGGGAAAAAAAACCAAATTGCAGAACAACATAACAGGGCAAGGCGGCTGTGGTTTCCATTCCAGGCGCTGTCCTTATCTAGAAATGGGGGATTACAATAATTCCCACCTCAAAGGGTTCTTTTGAGTACTGTGTCACAAGGACTAAGTAAGTTAATGCGAATAAAGCATTGAGGACAGCCCCTGGCATATAGTAAGCAACTGATAAAATGTTCAAAACTATGAGTATACATGTTGTATCATTATTATATATGACTGCAACATATTCATGTTATATAATGATTACTGTATGACATATATAATATATACAAATCTATGTGTTATATATATATATATATATATATATATATATATATATGTGCCTATATATTTATATATTTAGCTAAATCACCGTGTTTAGTATTGATATTTTCCGGAGGATAGAAGAGACTATTATTTTTCTGGTTTATACAGCCAAATGTTAATTGAATTGTTCCCTCATGTGTATCTTTCTTTTGCAATTTAAAAACCAGCCTGTAATCCCAGTACTTTGTGAGGCTGAGGTGGGCAGATCACTTGAGGTCAGGAGTTTGGAGACCAGCCTGGTCAACATGGTGAAACCCCATCTCTACTAAAATACAAAACATAGGCGGGTGTGGTAGCACATGCCTGTAACCCCAGCTACTCGGGAGACTGAGGCAGGAGAATCACTTGAACCTGGGAAGCAGAGATTACAGTGAGCCAAGATTGCACCATTGTACTCCACCCTAGGTGACAGAGTGAGATTCCATCTCAAAAAAAAAAAAAAAGCAAATGTAATTTTGAAACAAAGAAAAGTTATTCATTGGCTGGGCATGGTGGGTCATGCCTGCAATCCCAGTATTTTGGGAAGCTGAGGTGGGGGGATCATTTGAGCTCAGGAGTTCAAGATCAGCCCGGGCAACATAATGAGACCCCATCTCTACTAAAAATCAAAACAATTAGCCCGGCATTGCGGCATGCACCTGTAGATCCAGCTGTTCAGGAGCCTGAGGCATTTGAAATAAGCAAACAAGGAGCTAATGCCTGGGAGGCAGAGGCTGCAGTGAGCCATGATTGTGCCTCTGCAGTCCAGCCTGAGCGACAGAGCAAGACTCCGTCTCAAAAGAAAAAAAAATAGAAGAAGCTGTGCTACCATGACTGCACGCCTATTATGGCTGGGCCCATGGCAAGTGTGTCCCATGCTCTCCCTCCAGTAACCCTCCTGCTGGTCCACCTGTCCTGCACACCGGGACCCCTCCCACCACCTTCCTGCAGGTGGGCAGATCCTGAGTGGGAATCTCACGGTTTCAGCCTCCGCACTATCACCCCATGGCAGGTGTGTCCTGCCGGATCCACACTTAACACCCCTGTATTAACCCTGGGAATGAGGCTGAGGCTGGGAAGGGCCCTGAAGCCAGGTCAGCCTCTCCCCAGGCCAGCTCTTCCCACACACGCTGTGCTTACGCAGGTCCCATGTCACAGTCACGCTGGGGGAGGTGCCAAATCCTCCACAGGACTCTGTCCCCCCTCCCCACTCCTGTCCCACCCGGTGATGGAACAGCAGCTAGCACGGGTCACGCAAGCTCGTCCTCCCTGCTCTGACCACCAGGGGGTGCCGTGCAAGCAGCCGGTTGCCTGGCCTCCAAGACCTGACTTCTGCGATGAAGGAGGTGGGGTGGCCCCTTCTATGGGCCAAGATGGTGTCAGGGAAGCGCCGTTGGGATTGGAGCCGGTCCCCACGTGGACCTCATCTCCTCAGTCTAGGAAAGCCCTCGCCCCAGCCCCTTCGCCTTGCCCCTTGCTCAGAGATCCTAATTCCACCCCTGAGAAAAGCATTTCGCAATTCAGAAACCACTTCCACAACTGCGGCTAGATTCAGCCCTCTCATCCACCCAGCAGTGGGGATTGTTCACACTCCCAGAGGACAGCTAAGGAATCTGAAGCTTGGAAACTGATCAGAAACTTGCCCCAGGCCGACAGCAAATAGGGGGCTGAGCAGGGCCGCCTTCCAAACTGTCTGACTCTCCCCAGCGGGCAGTATTTCCACAGCAACTCCCTGCCTTGGCTGTGTCATGACGTTATTAAATCATCCTGCATTTTTTTTCTGTCCAATACTCTATACCTTCTCTGACCCACAGACTCCCCAGATTTAGTTGTTAAAATAACACGTATTAACTGATGGCAGAAGCAAAAAGGATGGTGATAAATATTATTGTAGAAGACTTGTATTAATAAAATACAGAAGTACAATAAAGTAAAAACCATCCACAATCCTACCACCCAGAGATAACTGCTCATAGCATTTTGATGAATATTACATCTAATATGTGGTGTATCTAATACACACACACACACACACATCGCTCTACATAGCTATATGTAAATAGATATAAATAACATATTTTCAAAATTAGGGTCATAGACACATCGTTTTAGAATCTGCTTTTTTGGGGGATCATATTACAAACATGTCCCCGGGTCATTAAATTTTCTGTATCACCAGTGTCAGGGCTATATGTATGAATGAAATAGAATTTGCCCAACCAATCCCTACTGCGGGCAGTTTGGGTTGTTTTCATTCCTAAGAACAGTGCTGCCAGGAGTGATCTGGTACCCACATCTTCAGTCTGAAGTGACAGCCCCTCTGTGAAATGGCAGAAACCACAAGCAATTTCAGGGTTTGGGCATATGCCAAGCGAGTGCCTGGGGGCTAGTGTTTCACGTCTGGGCTTTTGTCAGTGCTCCTCTGCACAGGTCAGGGGACAAGAGGCAGGGGCCAGAGTTCTGGACGGGCAGCCAGGGGACCAGCTGTCCTCCTAGGTGCTACTGTTGCCTTGCTGGGTAACCAGCCTCTCTCTGGCCATCGGCTTCTCACTTGTGCCACAACGGAGTTTAGCTGATCCTCTGAAAGTTGGGGTGTTTGTGGCAAAAGTCAGAAAGGGTGGGGACTCTGGACTTAGCTCTTCTAAGTGTTTGATTTTTCCACCTAGAAAACAGTAGCTAGTACTGCCGAGTAGGAGGTATGCTGTCAGTGTTGGAGACAAAATAGCCAAACACCTGGCACACCGAAGGGATTCAACAAACAGCAGGATTATTTAAACTTTTCTGTTAAACCCCAGAAGGAGTGGAGTCTGGGAGTTAAAAGCTCCAGATCTGGGGGTCAGAAGCTCTGCTACCTGAGATCAAACGTCAGCTCTGCCATTCACAAGCCGTTTGCTCCTGGCTGGGTTACTTAATTTCTCCGTGGCTCAATTTCCTCATCTTGTCTGTAAAATGAGGGTGGTTCTCACCCTTTCTTAAAGGGTTGGGGGGATGGTTAAATGAGATGCTGTATGTCACATACGTGGCCCTGGCTGGACACATAGTAATCACCCAATAAAAGGCCACTATGTAGGCATGTGCATCCGGACTTGCCTTGTTCTGGGCTGCTGTGCTGGAGGATGCCCATGTTGGTGATTTCCGGGGTCCTCTCAGGTACAGGTTCACCAGAAAGTTCCATGTCCTCAGTGAGGGAGGATGGAGTTGGAGGTATGTTTATGGGTTCAACTTTTGCTTCTTCGGGCTGAAGGGGGGGAAATTAGATGCAAAATGATTTACTTGGCAGTAAAGCAGAAGAAATGACAGTGAATTCACTGGAGAAGATAATAATCCACAGGATGCTGAATATACCAAGGGGAAAGCCTGGCCCCACCTGGCGTGTACCTGGGCAATGGCTACACCTCTCAGGGCCTAAAAGAGGTGCCTGCTAGAGAGCATTAGATTCTGTTCAGTTGACAGTGAGACTATTCATCTCAGTCAAAGCTCTCCGAGCACAGGGACTACCTTTCTGTGATTCCCAAATCCCAGGCCAGCCAGACGAGGTGCCCAGTAAAGATCTGTTAGATGAGGGAATGATTGAATGAATTAATGAACAAATGAATGAACCAGGCTGCACTCAATAAACTGCATACAAATTCAATGCCAGATGGGCACTAGTCATAAACACCCATGAAAATGAAAGATGGGATGGTTCCTTCCAAGGAAGCTTCAGCATCTATATAGCTTTCCCAAAGCCAGTCAGTATCTCAACCCACTTTACCAACTAGAGAAAAACAAACGAAAACCCAACAGAAACACACAGCACTTCAGAGATCTAGGCAGAAATCCTGGCATGAGCTCCAAAAGTCATGACATCACCCCTAGACCCAAGCAGCAGCTCATGAGACACAGGGCTTGTCAGCATTGACACAGCCTCATCACTTTCTAAGCTCAAGAGGCTGGTGGGGGCGGGGCGGGCGGCGGTGCATGGAAGAATCCTGCTGATCAGTGTTGAACTCCTGGTATGAACAAGAAACCAATCTTTGTTTTGTTAAGGCACTACGATTTTGAGGTTAATTTGTTACTGCAGCATCACTTACCTATCCTGACTAATAACAAAAGGTTACTTCCTTAATGCCAGAATCTAGCAAATCAATAAATTTCTGATTTGCTGTCCATCAAACAAGGAAGATTCTTAGAAGCCCCATAATTTAGAATTTAATAGTTCAGTTCTTACAGTCAGACCTGGATCAAATCCCAGCTCTCTACTTATAAGCTCAGTTACGTTGGGCAAGTCATGGAGCTTCACTGAGCCTCAGCTTCCTTCTCTGTAAAAATGAGGACAATAAGAACTACGCAAAGGCAGGAAATAGAAAAAACAATGAAGGGCTAAGTACACCTTTATTCATTACTGAAAACACTGTAAATGCAGATGAGCAAAAAGAGAAATCACGCTGAGTCCTAACACCCAGAGACAATCACAATGGATTCTATTGTACTGCAGAATCTTCTGGCTGGAGGTGGGAGGAAATGCTTTAAGGAGTTGGGCCTTGGAGCATGAGCAGGTTTCAGAACATAGGGGTGGAGGATTGATGGAGGTCAGGGCCTGGCAACTTGAGCTTGGCAAGAGCCCAGGGCTTGAGGAGGAAAGCAGCAGAACAGAGCCCAGGGAGGTGGGGGACAGGGGGTGCTGGTTCTATGGGAAGAAGAATGGGCTTGAACCCAAGGGCCACAGGCAGCCACTGGGGAGCATTGGGTTAAGGTGTGGTGGGGTCAGCTGTGTGTCTGAGGGAGTCCACATTGCTGGCAGTATGATCATGGACCAGGGGAGCTGAGGCTTATGCCAGGTGACTGGGGGTGGCACTAAGGAAGTCCACAAGGCAGGAATGACGGCAACGGTGGGAACAGAAAGCAGGCACCTCCCCAGGGAAGACTGTGAACAAGACCAGGTGGGATGTCCCCATTTCACCCAGATGGATGTTCATCTAGCAGGGTAGATAAAGACCCCTGCCCAAGAAGTTCCTCTCCTCTCCCTGTGAGGGATCAGGGCTGAAGGCACTCCATCGTTGGTTCAGGAACCAATGCTCAAGCCCCGGAATGCTCCTCTCTAGTCTGGAGTAAGGCTGCAGGTGGCTGGTAGCAAAGGTGCTCTATAAGGCATTTGGGCTTTGGGATGAAGCAGGCCAGGCAGTCGAGGGTTCAGGAAACACAGGAAGACAACGGGATGGTGGGCTGAGCTCTGTAACTCAGGGTGGCTGAAGGTGGGATCCATCCCACCTTCAGCCAAAAACTTCTTTTGTCAAACTCTCAACAAGGCATCCCAACCCCCTGCAAGGGCAGGGCAAGATTCTAGTGAGCTGACCCTCGGAAGCGAGGATAAGGGGACCTGCCTTAAGTAGGTGGCTTTGATTTTTAGAGGTCAACGTGGATGGGGATCCAGTGTGGCCTGTGGCAAAATGGGAATCTCAAGTCCAAAGACTTGTTATTAAAAATGTTGCAATTTGCTGAGCCCAGGATCATCTCCACACAATCAGATTTACTCCTTCTACACTTATTTCCAGAGGCCCTACTGTGTGCCAGGTTCCTGGTTGAGCCCTGGAGACACAGAAGTGAATAACTAAGACAGTGTGTCTGTCCTCAAGCTGTCAAATGATGGAGGAGGACCAGATACAGCAAACCACGATTCGGTGTGACGCATGGGATTGTGGGAGTGAGAGCCAAGTGTGAGGAGGGGGCTTCGCTAAATAACGGCCTCCTAGGAGAGGATGTGGACTGGATCCTGCAGGCTAAGTAGGAACTTGCCAGGCAGAAAGGGGGGCTGGGAGGACCCCTCCAGGCAAACCAAACCACAGGAACTAAGGCGCCATGGAGGGGAGAAAGTGCTCGGTCTGTCCAGGGGACTGTGAGCATCTGGGTGTGGTTGGAAAAGAGGCCCTGGCTGAGGACCAGAGTCACCTGCGGAGCTTTTTGTCAATATAGATTCTAGGATCTTTCATTCCAGACCTACTGAAGCTGAACATCCAGGTCTGCTTCCCCGGCAAGAATCTGCTTTTAAAGACCAACCTGCACTCACAGTGCCTCCCCACACCCCCCACGCCGCCCCCACCCCCCGACACACACTTACACACAAATGACTCTGATGCACAGCCAGGGCTGAGAACCATAGGGTTGTTAATTTCAACAGCATAGAACTTTCTGAAAACGCAAAGAATTGGATCGCAGGGACCCCTACCCTAAATGGGGAAGAGGGCGAGGAGGGGCAGTCTTTTTAGTCCCTGACCACTCAGAAAGTCTGCAATTCAGTTCACTGGCGACAGCTGGTGTCTCAAAGGGTGGCAGGCTGGAAAGGGTGAGGATGAGGAAGTGAGATTCATTCCAAGAAAGAAGCCAGACAGACAAGGGGGGACTGTCTGAGCCGAAGAGGGAAATTCCCCGTCCTGGAGGGTGGCTGCCGAAAAAAGCCATAAAGCCCTTCCAGGAGACGTTAAAAGGGGGAAGTCCCCAGCTCAGGGGTGGCATGATGGAGTGCACCCTGGACCCTGAGGAGAAGACCTGGCTCTGCCACCTTCAGGCTGGGTGGTGTTCAGTAACCGTCCCCACTGCTCCAGTGCTCTCCTATGCAGAAGAGACCCCTAACAACTCTCTGCAAATGAGACTAAAGAAAATGGAAGCACGTGGAGAGCATGAACAGTGGCATAGACAGTCAGGCGGAGAGGGAAAGCATTCTGATGACAGAGAACAGGCAGGTTAAGGTCAGGACCGCCAGGTCTGGAGGCACAGCCCAGGGGAATCCCCTTTCTAACTGAAGGCAGCCACAGGGGTTTGGCATGCCTATCAGCCCCAGCCACCAGCCAACCAGGAGGCCCCAGGAGGATCGAGGCCTCTGCACTATGCCCGGTGCCGAGTCCAGCCCTGAGCTGGGCTCTGACACATCGCATCGCCTCCTTAATCCTCGCAACAAACCCATCCGTCAACAATAGCAACAGCTAGCACTAGCCAAGTGTTTTGCACAGGGCAATTCATCTAATTCTCACGCTAATCCTGTGAGGCAGATCCGTTCTACTGTAACCAAGGAGGAAACTGAGCCTTGGAGGGCTTAAGTCACTTGCTCGAGGTGAAATGCTAGTAAGTGGCACAGCTGGGATTCATGCTTGGTGGAACACCGATTTGTACCAATTCCTGTAAAACCACTGAGGAAAGTGGGGCTGGGGAATCCAGGAAAGAAAGTGCTTGAGGTTCCCCAGAGGACACCAAGTCCATCAAATCAAGAACAACTCTTTCTTTTTCACTTCTCCAGATAGTCTGGGGATTGATTTCACAGCCCCCCTTGGCTGACACGTGCCCCACATCTGCCCTGGTGCCTGCAGTGCCACAGTCCTGGGGAGAGTCCCCGGCCAGGGAGTCAGTGGGGCCTGGCTTGAGTCCTGACTTCACAACCCTGTGACCCTGGCAGTGCTGCCTAACCTCCTTTCTGAATCTGCACAATGGGGCTGATGCCACCTACCTTGCAGGGTGGCAAGAAATAAAAGTGAAGTCATGTATACAACAGCCCCCAGGCACACAGAGGTGTCAAGAAATGCCAGTTCTCTTCCTTCTCCTCCCACTTCCCTACCTCTGTTCAAAGCTGTCTGGCTCCAGTGCCCCTCTCAAGCTTCTCTGCCCTACTCCTGTCTCTGCGATCACCTCAGGCTCAAGCACCACTCCCCTTTCCTGTCCCTCTCTTGGAGCCACCTTGGGCTATTGGCACCTCTGCCTGAGCTGGCCTCGCTGTGAATTGTGAAATGGTACAGGGCAGCATCAGATGTGAAGTCCACTCTGTACCCTGCTGCCCCAGGTCGGGGCATGCCAGTGGGATGGCCAAGGGCTGATGGGCACACAGGATAGCCACACCACCCAGAACAGCTGCCCTCCCCAATCACCAGGTAGGCAGGCACCTTGGATCCTTGACTTCCTCCATGCCAGCTGGCCAAGAGTTGGCCGCCATCCTGGGGATGGAATTGTCCAACACCACCCAGGCCGTGACCCCATGGATGGGCATCAGGAGACTCGTGCTGTTACCCCGGTCCTGCCCATACACACTGGAGTCAGTGTCTTCCTCTATACAGAAGGAGATGTACAGAAGGACTTTTAAGTCCCTCCAGTGCTAACAGTCTATAGTTCCATTCTGCTGCATCCACAGCCTTGCTGCCTGAGGTATGGAATCTCCAGCCACTGCCTTATTTCCATCTCCCTGATTTCTTCCATTAGAGATGAGCTTAGAGAGTAGCCTGACCAGGCAAGGAGACGGCTGAAGCTCTGCTGTGTTTAGTGACTCTGCTGCTGCTTGCTGTTTTCATTAAAAATGGGCTCTGGGTGTCCCCACAATCTGACTCAGTGCTTTCAAAACCACTTCCATGTCTCAGCCACAGGGTGCATTCCCAGGAAGGAGGAGGTCCAGGCCACTGGAAGTTAGGATTGCCTTTCTCGTTCGCCAGAAGTGAGCTCCCTGGGGGACTCTGTGACTCACAACACTGAAGGTCTGACTGTGTTTTCACAGCTGGAGCCCTGAGCAAATGTAAGACAGCCATCGTTCAGGGCCATTTCCCTCGTGCCAGGTACTGGGCTAAGGCTTGTCCCTGCACTTCATCATCTAACCCTGGAAAGAACCCTATGAGATAGGACTGTTAGAATCACCATTCTTGGAAGAAGAGTCGAGGTTCAGAGTGGTTTAGTAAGTTACCCAGGGTCACAGGGTTTTTACCCAAGGCTACACAGCAAAAGAGCACAACATTTGCCCTTGACAGCCCTCTCATGGTCACAAGCACAGGGTGGCACTGAGGTAGCTGGTGTTCCAGTTCACTTGAGGATACTGCAAAATGCCCATTGGCTGGGACTTTCCTGACCTCCCCAGATAAGTCAACGATTAAGCTCACAGGTCTGAAAACAGAGAGGTCAGACCCAGGGCTCTGAGCCCCCTCCAGTAATTCTCAGCCTGCTAAAAGCTGACCAAGATCACATGGCACAGCATCCCAGTACTCACCGGGGCTTGAGTGTAGGTGACGGCTTCTAAGATCTCAGCTACTCCGTCTGTCTCCTGCAGTCCGCTGGTTTCTCCAGATGCCTGTGTGGAGACAAGCCGTGCCACATACTGGGTAGAGCAGGCAGGGCCCATAAGAGTTGAACAACTGGGAAAGTCACAAAAACTGACAAACCAGCTCTCCTATAGAGGAACGACGTGTGTGTGTGTGTGTGCATCTATCAGAGGCAGAGACAGAATGGGGTTAAGGAGACAGTGTATGTGCAGTGTGCATGCTTGGTTGGTTGTTTTATTTCTTTATTTATTTTGAGACAGGGTCTCTCTTACTCTATCACCCAGGCTGGAGTGCAGTGGTATGATTTCTGCTCACTGCCAACTCTGCCTCCTGGGTTCAAACTATTCTCCTGCCTCAGCCTCAGGAGTAGCTGGGACTATAGGCATATGCCACCATGCCTGGCTAATTTTTGTATTTTTAGTAGAGACTGGGTTTCACCATGTTGGCCAGGCTGGTCTTGAACTCCTGACCTCAAGTGATCCACTCACCTCGGCCTTCCAAAGTTCTGGGATTACAGGCATGAGTTATTGCTCCGGCCTGGTTATTCATTTTATTTCCTTCCACATTTTATTACTCAAACAAAATACACAATCATTTCACACTCTCTTTAACATACCAACTTTCATTCTATCCAGGTCCCCACCACTCTCCCAACCTTTGTGAGGCTGTCATTGGAATGTTGCTCTGGGAACCGTTACAGCCGAAGCATGACTTCCTGTCGCTACCTAGTCTTTCTAATTAATTAGCCTCCTAAAGGCAGACAAGGAGCCCGAGGGCCGTGATTTTGTAACCAATCCCTTATTCTTGGACTGTTGGGTTGTTTCTGCTTTTTCAGTATTAATGGCAATGCAGAGGCGAACGTGAGACTTTGCTACGAAGCATCACATGACTGTCAGCCTGGGACCACTGGCTCACGGAGCACAGGCCTTCTCATGGGCCCAAATTCCACCCCTTGGGCTTTCTATTGGAATCGACAGCATTTTGTTTTTTACGAAGTTAACAAAATCAATTTGTGTTCTGTTGTGGGGTTGATGCCACCCAAAGAACAATAGGAATTGCAGAATGTGCTATCTTCTGCTCACCTCTGACTGCCTCCTGGGACCCCTTCTCCCTGGGAGGCCTCACCCTTGCTTGTCATTGGTCAGGCATTACCTGCTCCTTAACTCGCTTCGAGTTCCTCCTCTTTTCTCTTCCTGCTCCCACCTGACACGTTGAGTTTGGGTTTGTGGACCTCCCGAGTTCCCATCACGCTCAGCTCTGTCATCGTATTTGGGTATGGGAGTGTGTATGAGCAGCTTGAGCGGGGGACAGTTCCCAGTTTATTCCTTTATCTCCAGCACCTGCCCAGGAATGGTACCCAGCAGGTGCTCAGTCCACCCTTAGAGGAAGGGAAGGAGGGAGGGTGGAAGGAGTTATCTTTTTTTTCCTCCTCCCTACCACTCCATCCCCAGCTTAGGAGTGGATTCATTTGCCAAGCATAAAAGCTAAGTTGAGGATTGTTTTTATAGGAATTTACTCCCAGAATATCTCATTTTAACTTTGATTTTAGAATCCTGACACCATTTTTTGGCAAGAAGGCTGGAAAGCAGGCCACTGAAGGCCACAGCCATGGAAGATCCTGACACCTTATAAGAAACACAGCTCCCTGCACCAGAGATGGCTGAAGCTCTTTCAAAAGTGAAAACACGCCAAAAGCCCAAAATAGGACTCGAGGCAGCACTTGCCAAAATGAGAGGTTTCAAAAACTCCACGCCACTGTCTGGGCATCCAGCCCTCCCCAGGCCGCCCGGATGCTGGGTTGCAAGGCCCACTGTGGGGTACGGGGGAGCTCACCGACGACTCTTCAGCGTCACACAGCTCCTCGGGAGTCCTGGGGTCAGGGTGCACAATGAGCTGCTGGATGGAGCCCTGGGGGAAAAGACAGGATCAGAAGCCACGGTGTGCATGTTCACAGCATGACGGCCAGTGGAAGACATGATTGTTCTTGTAATGGAGAAGAACAAGTAGAAGCATGGGAATGAGGAGGTACTGCCTGTGGCCTCAATGACAAAGCCAGGCCACCTCCTGGCCCACTCTCAGTTATGAGGGGACTCTTCTTGGGCCAGTATCATACTGACCCCTGGGCCAGACAGGTCCTTGGGGAGCACTGCGTTCAAGTGTGGACACCACAGCAGCCTCCTATGTCCAGGTCCCCGGCTTGTCAGTGGCAGGCCCTGAAACACACATCTCCCTCTCCCAGAAAGTTCTTTCCCCTATAGCTCAAAGCTTCTGTGCTTGAAGGCCTAGTCCCAAAAAGGGCTGCCACAGCCTCCCTACCTCCACTCTCAACCCCTCTCCCCACATCTGACAGCTTCCTCTCCACAAGGCCCCCAAAGTGAGCAATTAAAAACTGCCCATCAGATTTTAATTTCTTAGCATTCTCCAGTGTCTTCCACTCAACTCCAAATAACCCAAGCTCCACCCCGCAGGACTGTCCTGTTCACCAGTGAGGCATTCGTAAATACACATGCTGCCTAAATGAATAACTGTGATAACCTAGCAATCTTCAGAATGCCTTGTTCATAAAAGCCCATTTTGATAGTAAAGTCAGTTAATTTTTTTTTTTTTTTTTTTTTTGAGACAGAGTCTCGCTCTGTCACCCAGGCTGGAGTGCAATGGCGGGATCTTGGCTCACTGCAACCACTGCCTCCCGGGTTCAAGCGATTCTTTTGCCTCAGCCTCCCACATAGCTGAGACTACAGGCGTCCATCACCACACCCGACTAATTTTTGTATTTTTAGTAGAGATGGGGTTTCGCCATATTGGCCAGGCTGGTCTCAAACTCCTGACCTTGCGATCCACCCGCCTGGACCTCCCAAAGTGCTGGGATTACAGGCGTGAACAACCATGCCCAGCCAGTTTAATTTTTTTTTTAAGTGCATATTGCCCAAAAGGAGAGAGAAGCTACCTCTCACTCTGGTATTCTGGGGTATCCCACGTTTTCAGAAATTACTTAAGTGCAACTGTCACCCATATCCAAAGATCAAACCAGTCAGGGATATGACAAACCTGGCTCTTTTATATAAAATCTTAAAATGTACAAAGTGCTTTCACACAGGTTAGCTTATTTGACTTAGAAGCCTGTGGGGTAGGTTTTCTTATCTCCACTTACAGATAAGAAAACAGAGAGGATCAGAGAATTCAGATAACTGTCTCAAATCCACAAGCTGAGTTGAAAACTGAGGATGGAAATCTAGGTTTTGGGGTTCCAGGCCTAGTGTTCTTTCTCACCATAACATGTATGCCTCTTGGAGGACATAAGAATAAAATAATAACAATAACAGTTGCTCCATTTACTGCATGGTGAGTCTGTATCCATCCACCTCCCTGATCTGCCTGGAGTGGGACTTTGACTCACGGTAAATCTCTCGAGCCCTGTAGCTCCAGCATTGCCCACGAAGATTCCAGCGCTGGACTCGAAAGCCAAAGGCCGGGAGGACCGCTGGAAGGAAATGCGGCTGTGCTCCTCACAGTCCACGAGGAGGGTCACTTCCTCACCCTGGACAATCACGGCGAAGCGGTTCCACCTGTGGGTCATCACGGGCACCGAGAAGGCGGCAACCTCTTGGGACACATGGGAGCCCAGCTCCGTGTAGTAGAGGATGATCCGCTGCTGGCCATCCTCCACACCCGAGAGCCGCAAGCCCAGGTAAATGACCTTCTGGAAGGCGTCAGTGATGGCAAAGAGCACGCCGCCGCGGGTGCTGCTGGGCTTCACCGTGACGCTAATGGCGAAGTCCCTGAAGAAGGTGGATGGGATGAGGGTCCTGGCTGGGCGGCCGACGTTGGCACCAGGCCCAAAGCTGTAGGCTGGGAAGCCACCATAGCCTGTGACAAAGGATACGGAGGAGGGCAGCGGGACACCGATGAGCTGTGTGAGGTCCAGGTGACCCTGGGAAGCCGACTCTGCAGGGATGGAGAGAGAGGTCATGCTTTACAGGTGTATTCCACTATGCTTGAAAATGAGGAATAAACGCAGTCACAGATGAAACAAGATCACTCAGGAACCCCACTGAAACTGTAGTTCCGAAATGGTTGTTTTTCAAATGTTTTTGACAATGACTCACAATAAGAAATGTATTTACATTGCAACCCAATATAAAAGTGTAAACAAACAAAAGTTTCATAAAACATTATTGACTTAATACTCACCAGGCCCTCAAATATGTTTTTTCCATTTAATTACTCTTTTTTTTTTTTTTTTTTAAACATGCTGGAAATGAACTACTAAATTGATTTTAGTGGGCTGAACTAATGGTTCATGACCTGCAGTTTGGAAAACACTTATGAATAATCCCTAGAATACATGATGTTCCCCCATCAATTTGGAGATTTTTTCCCCCACTATAAAACTGAATAGGGGCCAGGCATGGTGGCTTAATGTCTGTAATCCCAGCATTTTGGGAGGCCCAGGTGGGTGGATCACTTGAAGTCAGGAGTTCAAGGCCAGCCTGGCCAACATGGTGAAACCCCATCTCTACTAAAAATAGAAAAATTAGCTGGGCGTGCTGGTGCATGCCTATAATCCCAGCTACCTGGGAGGCTGAGGCAGGAGAATCTCTTGAACCCAGGAGGCAGAGGTTGCAGTGAGCTGAGATCGCACCACTTCACTCCAGGCTGGCTGACAGAGTGACAGCCCTTAAAAAAAAAAATGGATAGGTTTGTTTTGTTTTGAATGAGGTCTATTGTTTAAGTACCTTAAGCAAGTGTAAGGGGAAAATCAGGGACAGGGTGAAGTGTTCCCAAGCCTCAGGACAACTGAAATTTGTGTCATTGTCATCATCATCATCATCATCACCATCACCACTACCACCACCATCATCCACGTTCCCTAAGTTCTCTCTGTACCAGGCCCTGCTCTAAGCTCTGTACATACATTAGACATACAGTAGCTTGTGTAATCCTTACAACAAGCCAATGAGGTTAGGTACTCTTATTCCCCTCTTACTTCCGAGAAAACTGAGGCTTAGAGAAATGAACAAATTTGCTTAAGGTAAGTTGCACACAGGTTTCAAACCCAGAGCATCTGACCCCAGAGACTATGCCGCCACACCTGGCTGGGAGAAATGCCTGAGCTCCATTATGGTGTCCTGAAAAGGACCCAGGCTCGAGAATATTGGTGCGTCCAACTATTTTCCTCAGGAAAAGACTGCAGAATGGCTTGCAGCAACATGCACCCACTCCTGAGTTGATGTCCAAGGTACCAGCAGTGAGCTAGGAAGGCAGGTCCCAGGGAGAGGGGTATGAGACCTCTGCAGCCAGGACAACAGACAAGTCACACCTCTTGGCCTCGGAAGAGAAGCCGGATCCTGAGGATTCAACCAGATAAGGAGGCCTGAAATGAGTGAGGATCAGAATCGAGCGGTGTCCTCTTCCAGAGGCCAGAGGGCAGGGCAGACTCACTTGGTGGCTGTGTGGGTTACAGCCAAAGGCCAGAGGCCATTGAGAACCTGAGTAGTGTCTGGGGACTTGGTCTCCAGAGAAAACCCCAAACACTGGAGGGCCCCTCTAAGAAAAGCCCTATCTGAGGAATCAGCCTATTTTCCAGTTTACCCAACTTGCCACTGTCTTACTAGACACAGCTAAGTAGCTGTGTGACCTCGAGTGAGTCACTGAACCACTCCAAGTCTGAGTGTCTTCCTCTATCATACAAGGCACTAGAATGAGCTCCAAAAGAATGACTAAATGAGACCGTCCATGGAAACCCCTGGTCAGTAACAGTAGCAATGCAACAAACATTCACTATTCTTTATTTTTATTATATCCACTGAACGACCTCCAGAGGTCAATGGGCAGGGATGATCACTCCTGCAGCACTGACCAGGAAAGTGAGGCTGACATGGGAACCTGCCTCTGTGCCCTTGAGCTCTCTTATAAAGTGGAATAACAACGTGGTTTTCATACATAATTTTACTTAGTCCTCACAGTAGCCCTGGACATTAACTGCTATTATCCCATTTTGCAGATGAAAAACTGAGGCTTGGAAAGATGAGCTGACTGGCCCAAGGTTACCCAGCTAGTAAGAGGCAAGACATTTTCGAGCTATGGCTGGTGTGATTTCTGGCTGATTCATTGCCGCAGCCTCACTGAGATCGGGGAGTCTCTATGGGGGCTGTGGGTGGGGCTCCACCTACCATATCAGTGACCCTTCCATATCATATCAGTGACTGCCTACCATATCAGTGACCCTTCAGCAGCAAGAAGGATGCAGTCAAGACTCCAGGGGGTCCAGGAACTCAAATTTCCCACATGTACTTGGTGGCTGGGAGAGGGAGACACCCTGACTGCCATGCCCCTACCCTGACTCCACAACACGCACAGAGAAGGCTGCTCACTGCCAGCACTAACCTCAATTACTATGAAATATTTAGGTTAAACAAAAAATACAGTATAAAGAATAATATGAGGCACTTGGTGGTTAAATGGTTAAAATGGCAAATTTTATGCTATCTATGTTTAAAATTAAATTTAAAAGAAGGTGAGTAATTAGCCCAGAGGATCACTGTGAGGATTAAAGGACATAATACAAAGAGCTGGCACATGAGAAATGCTTAAAAAATGGTGTATATCATAGCTGGACATGCTGTGGCCCACAACTGCAATCCCAACACTTTGGGAGGCCAAGGAGTGAAGATTACTTGAGCTCAGGAGTTTAAGACCAGTCTAGGCAATATAGTGAGACCTCATCTCTACAAAACAACAACAAAAAAAGCCAGGTGGTGTGCACCTGTAGTGGTGGTGTGTACCAGTAGTACCCGCTACCCAGGAGGTTGAGGTGGGAGGACTGCTTGAGCCTGGGTGGTCAAGGCTGCAGTGAGCCAAGATCACGCCACTGCACTCCAGCCTGGGTGACAGAGTAAGACCTTGTCTCAAAAAAAGAAAATAAAAGGTAGATATCATCACCATCATCATCATCATCATCATCATCCTAGACTTGCTGGTTTAGAAAAGAACCTCAGAGGTCACCTGATACAACTCTATCTGTTTCAACATGGTTTTGCCACGTTGGCCAGGCTGGTCTTGAACTCTTGAGCTCAAGTGATCCGCCAGCCTTGGCCTCCCAAAGTGCTAGGATTTCAGGCACGAGCTACTGCATCCAGACTTGACCTTATATTTTCACAACAGTACTCTGCAGTATAAAGAAGCCACAATGGGTTGATTCACATTTCTGTTGGTGGAAAGTGAGGTTTCCATCAATATTACAAAGGATACTGCCACGGACTCCCTTATACACATCTCCTCGTGCTTACCTGTGCAGGTAATTCCCCCAGCTGGAAGTAGAATTATTGGATAATATGGGTATGTGCACCTGCAACTTTCCTGAATGTTGCAGAATTGTTTTCTGAAGCAACTGTGACATGTTGCACACCCACCAGCAGCGTATTCTTGCCAACATTTAGGGGAGGCAGAGAGATGCGATTTGGGAGAGGTCCATGGGGCTTTTCGCCTGGAGTGACGGTGTTAATTGTTTAGGTGGTATTCAAATAAGCATTCCTTGTATTTTTCTTTACGGCAACTTTCATGGAAAATATTTCACACAATTTTTACAAAAATAATTAACCCTCCCTCGACAAAAGGGCACATCTGATCCTGTTGCTGTCCTGCTTACAAGCCTTCTGTGAAATATGATTATTCATGGCCCTCAGGGCTGGGCTGACCAGGCTACTGCCACCTGGCCCAAGAGGCCCTCTGTGGCAGGACCCAGCTGCCCTCCCTACTCCCTGACACGCCTGACACAGTCCCTGGAGTGGCCCGTGCTGTCCCAGGGCCTCCCACCCCTGCCAGGAATGCTTTCCTCTCTGCCATCTGCCCCAGCCCAGCCCAGTTATTTTGCCTGAATGACTCCGACTTATCAGCCCAGGCCTCGTTTCCCCTAAAATCTCGCTTCACCTCCTGCACCCACACCATCCCCTCTGGGGACTGCATTAGAAGCCCTCTCCGTGCACACTGGGGTCCTCTATCATAGCCCCTGTGTGTTACTATTGGGTCACTTGTCTCTCTTCCCATTGGGCCATCTGTGTTCTCGGTAACAGCCCAGGGCTGAGGAGCGCATGAATGAACGAATGAATCTGTACATATTGTCGAATCCCCTCTTTTTTTATTTTTATTTTTTAAATGAGACAGAGCGTTGCTCTGTTGCCCAGGTGGGAATGCAGAGGCATGATCACAGCTCACTGCAGCCTCGACCTACAGGCTCAAATGATCCTTCCACCTCTCAGCCTCCCAAATGGCTGGGACTATAGGCATGCAGCATCGCACTCAGCTAATTTTTCCATTTTTTGTAGAGACAGGGTCTCACTATGTTGCCTACATTGGTCTCGAACTCCTGGACTCAAGTGATTCTCCTGCCTCGGCCTCCCAAAGTGCGGGATTACTGGTGTGAGCTCCTGCACCCAGCATCTAACCCCCTCATTTTAGAAAAGACTAAACTAAGCTTAATAGAGAGAAAGAAAGTATTTGCTGGCCATGAATTCAGATTTGATTCTCAGTTGAATGCTTATCCTCTCTAGTTTACAACTTGCTTTAAAACAGAAATTAATTTTAGTTAAAAGGTTGGTAAATCTGGCTAAATTTGACCACATAGAAGTAAAAGAGTTCTGCATAACAAAAAATAACAGTAATGATAATCCCCACAATGTCAAAGAAACCCCCAAATCCATGAAATGGTATTTGCTACATAAATCACAGACAACAAACCAATTTCTCTAATATGCAAAGCAAATGAATACCCAAAAGGAAAATGGGCAAAGAATAGGAAATTCTAGACACAGTAAAAGGAATTAAAATGGCTCTTAAAAGTATGAAAAATACTTAACCTCATTCATAAAGAGAGAAAGACAAGTTAAGATTACAAAGAGATACCATTTCCCTATCAGATTGGCAAAGATGGGAATATGCTGTGTTGG